TCTTGTTCAAACACAATCTCCTTCTTTTGTTTGAACAAATGAATCTGTACTCACACGTGACATTGAGACGAGCAGCAGGAGAGATGTAACTGTGTCCATGTAGAGCACAGCTGTATCTGCCTGCATCCTCTCTTCTGACTGACTGCAGCAGGAGTTGATTGTTTCCGTCTCTTCTCTCAGTTAATGGCTGTGAGTTTCTGTACCAGATGAATGTTGCTCTGTCAGTCAGAGTGCAGCTGCTTTTACATGTCAGACGGACATTATGACCCTCTGTCACTCTCTCAGGAGCCTCCACCTGAAGATCTGAACACAACACACACATTATATCTAGTGCTGCTGTCATACACTGATTATTATTCAACATAATGCACAGAAGAAGAGCTCAGCCTCATGAAAGTCACCTGTCACAGTAAGAGTCACTCCTGGATAACCTGACCATTTTCCATCAGGTTTATCAGTGATGAATCTGAAACGGTACTTGTGTTCGTCCTTCTGTGTCACATGACTCAGTCTGATGGTGCAGTTCTGCTGTTTGTCTCCCAGATACTGAAGCCTCTGACTGTATTCAGGATCCTCAGACAGATCTGGAGGCTCTTTACCCTTTACAGTGTTTTTGGTCCAGAACACTTTCATGATCTTATATTCAGTAGGGTATTTATAAGTGCAGCTCATTATTACTGATGAGTTCTTTAGTACACAGATGTCTGAAGGATTGTAACTCACACCCCAATCAGCACCAGAAACCCCTGAAACACAGAATTCATTCTGAACAATAGCTTTTTAATTATTATTTTTTATTTTTTGCAAGCAAGATGGAAGCAAGCATAGACACAGTGACTCCATGCTCTCACTCTAATTGCTCTTTATGTGTGTTCTTGTTTATATGTGTGTTTGCCAAAATTACATTTAGTAGTGCAAATTCCACATACAGTAACCAAGATCTTCCGATCATATAACTACAGCTTAAGCAGATCTTGAGTTCATTTTTGCACTTAGACAATATACCAAAGGAGATAGCCAGGACACCGGGCTCCACGTGGATTGTTGTTGGGTCCGACAAGTGTCAGGGGCATAGGAGACACAAAAGCATGGATGCCGGTTCGCCCTACTTGCCAGACGACTGCACAAATCATTGCTACCCGGCATTTTTCTCACCAATGCCAGATATTTTAGCAACAACATGGATGAACTGAATCTACGAATCTATAAAAAAATAAATTAAATAAATAATAAAAAAGGTAGATTTAACAAAAACATACGTAGACAGGTAAGTTCTGCCAATTTGGAGTACCTGACAGTCAAACGTATCTACCATGTGAATTTAATGTGTTTATAGTCACAGTCAGACATTCAACAAGATGCGAACTTCAACATAGCTTTAGGCCGCCTGCTCAGTTAAATAGCCGATTAATTTAACCAAGCTGATTTAAAAGCTGTTCTCCAGAAATTTGATCATCATATCAAATGTGCTACCAGAGGGACAAACACACTAGACAGTTTGGGCCTACCACATTTAGACCACTCAGATCACTTAATCATACTCCTATTCCTAGCATACAGGAGGAGGAAAGCTCAACCCAAAATAAAGAAAGGTAAAACATGGCCTGAAGGAGCTTTTTTGCAGCTGCCTTGACAGACAAACTGGAATATTTTTGAGGTTCAGGACTTGGGGGGGATATACATTCACTGTACTTTGTGTCGACAAAAACATCAGAGTGTACTCCAACCAGAAGCCTTGAATAACAAAAGGGTTCAAAACATAGCCTTCAAGTTGGGCAACAGAGCCTTATACAGCATTGCTAGAGCAAACCTGAAGAGAGGCAGCAGGGAGGCAAAAGTGGCCTACAAGAAGTTCTTTGAGGGCCAACAACGACTCACAGCAGGTGTGGCAGGGCATCCAGCATGTCACCAGCTATAAGACCAGCAACTGAATGACTGTTAACGGTGACACCTCCCTGGCAGAGCAACTCAATTGTTTCTTTTGCTAGCTATTGAGATGAAAGTCAAGTCAAGTCAAGTCACCTTTATTTATATAGCGCTT